TCTTCAATTTTGCTATGGTTGCATAGCTGGGGCTCGTCGGGCCCTCTGGGGAAGCAGCCGGAATTGCGGCAATTATCAAGAGATGCGCCGCTCAGAGGGGTTCTACTGTGCCGGGAAGTTGGTGGCTCCGAATCAGGCTCCGGTCTTTGCCGTTTCAGGTGCCGGGAAAGTGAGGCGGGCAGCTATCTTTACCGGAATCTTCGCTGTGGCGGTCCTCTGGCGTTCTTTTGTTTGTCGACGTCAAGGAGCAGCTGGGATGGTGAGCCTCGGTTGTTGGCTGGCAGCTTCACTTTGGGGCTGCCGATTGGCTTCGATTTGTAGGTTTGTCACTCTGTTTCTTCGAGTCGAAGCTTGGAGTTTCATTGGGTGCGTCCATGCTGGGCTTCTGGTTTTGGTCTTTTGGGGCTTGAGCTCGAGTTTGAGCGACCGGCCGGATGTTGAGAGACGTATTAGTCGGCGGATGGCACGAGACTCCGGCGTCTCGGGGCGCTGGAGTAATGGGAATGGCCAACCTTTTTACCTTTAGTTCACTGGTGTTGGGAACTGGATGGGCCCGGTCACGGGGTCTGGTTGGTTATCCTCTCGGTCGAAGGTGGGTTGATTCTGGTTAATCTCGGGATCCAGGTTTAACTTCTGTATAGGCGTTCGGCAGCAGTTTCGGAAGTTGGGCCTAGGACTTCGGATCTTACTTGGATTGATTGTTTCTCTACTGGTTTCGATCCGTTTTATTTGCTGGGGAAGGGCGTTGTTGTGTCTTATTTTGTCTATTTGTGTTCTATGTGTTGTTTGTGTTGGATGTGTTGTATTTGTATTAGGACTTGTGTTTTAGGTTTGGGCCGTTGGCCCCTGTGAACTCGAGTGTCAACTTATTATCCTGTTGGGATCAGACACTCGGGTATTACCCTGTTGGGGTCTTTTTAGTTTCGTAGTTTTTAGTTTTGTAGTTTTATGTCATTGTCTTCGTGTATGTGAGTATTACCCCGTTGGGGTCGTCTCTAGGCGGTCTTTAGACTGTCCTCCCATTTTATTCAGCTATTGGCTATTTGCATTCAGCTATTGGCTGTTTGTATTCAGCTGATGGCTGTATTTTGTAAATTTGCGTAGTTTATAATAAAATCTATCGTTTCGGAAAAAACAAAAAAAATCAAACATCATTGGAAACAAATGGTGTGATATATTACATATAAAAGGATAACAAATAAAAAACATTAAGTATTTCGAAAGTGAAAAATTTAATGTTAGATAGTAATGAAATATTAATTAAAAAACTAATACTAATATCCCTATTTTGAATGAAAAATAAAATAAAATTGTGTACTTAAAAGTTCTAGTTTAAATAAATGTGCATCTTAGGTGTGTTTTATATTTTTCATTAATCAGCTCCAACTGATGGATGACATTAACGAATTTTATCACTTTTTTTACTTTTGGATTGAATGTGAACTATAAGCTTGAGCATTGTAAAGTTTAATTTTCTATTACATAGAACATCATTCTTAACTCTTGTTTAGTTATTATAATACTAATAAAATAGGTAAGAACATTGAACCTAGATGTATCTTGTTTGTTTTGAAAAAAAAAAGTACTAATTATAATAAAGTAAATTATAATTACATTTCATGTGTTATATATTCAATCATTATCAACAATTTTCATAATAATTAATTGCACACTTGAAAAAAAAATTGCACACAATAGTATATATAACGCAAATGGAGAAGTACCTTTGCTACCAAAAAATGATGAAATTCCAACGACAATTTCGACAAAAATGTATTACAATCGAATTTCAACGACAGTTCTAACGAATATGTAAATGTTATTCCTTTCATTTGAATTATTTCAATGAAAATTATAACAAAAATATTTTGTTGGAATCATGGGCAGATCCATTTTTTTTAACACGGTCGACACATGGCCACTTCCCAAAACATATAGCATAATGTATATGATAAAAATTGTGGGAACATTTTTCATAATTTTAATTATACCCCCGATTCTGAAAATAAAATTAAAAGAAAGAAAGATAAATAATGAATTAATTTGTGACTCAACCAATTTTACTTCAATTCAGCTCATAACTCTATTAAAGTTATAACATAAACACAGTTTTACAACTAAAGAAAATAGGATAAATCTAGAAATTATAATTTCACCCTTTTAATTTATTTTCTTAATCTTGATGATAGCTTCTATTCTCTCTTTTGCAATATATTTTTTTTCTCTAACTTTTTTCATGTCTTTTTTAACTAATGTATGTAGAATTATAGGTTATATTTTATTAATTATATTGTCGAGTCAACTATACCGCAACATAAATGTTTTGCTCATAAAAATTTTAAAAATATTATTTTCAATGATTTTATTATGTGGAAGAAAAATTATGTTTTTCTTATGTTAATTTATTTTAACTTGTCGTGACTGTAATCATGTATTAAAAATGTATCACATGTGAGAAATGACATATTATAAATATTATAATTTTATAAATTATAAAAGCATTATGTTATTTTGATGGTATAGTGCCCCCTGCAAGAAATTATTTTGGATCTGCCACTGTAATTAGCTTTCCAATGAAACTTACTTTGATTTTTTTACAATTCCAATGGCTATGTTTTCCAACAGTTGAAATATTATTCAAGAAAGATTCCAATGAAAAATTCAACAATAAATAGTTGTAATTGAAATAATTAAATCAGTTAAATTCTAATGTAATTTAATATCATCTCTGTTGGAATAGCCAATGAAAATTTTCAATTAAACTTATACCAATGAAATATCCGTTGAAATTTTCAGTGGAATACCTTACGGTTGTTTTTTCTTTTTCTGTATTCATTCTTAAACATTAAATTTTTATATAATATCTTTTGTTATTAATTAATTATCTTTACAATTTTGCTATTAAAAATACATTAAACACATGACTTTTTAGTCCATGTAATTTTTTTAGAAACCACTCATTATTTTATATCAAGATTACCTATTAATTTCTTAATTGAGTTATATTTCTTACATATTAAATGTTAAATAATGAAAATATTTACTATTGTATAAATGTAATATGATATTTGGTTATTATATTTAAAAAACTAATAGCAGATAAAAAAGTTATTTAAAATTAGAACAATCAAGCTTTTTTTTTTTTATTTTAAAAGTTCCAACCTAAATGGATAAAAATACAAATAACTATTGTTTGTCACCTAAACCTTACACATAGAATTAATAATCACAAAACATTAACAAATGTTTACAACTCAACTCGTTTATATTGACAAATACAAGTTTTAATAGTTTTATATTTATTTTAATCAGTTATAACACTTTTAATATTATTTATGGAATTTAATATTTTTTTTACTTTACATTGTTCCACATAAAGTTTTTGTTCAAAAAAAATTCTAAAAAATACATTGTTTTCAATGATTTTTTTATATTGAATTAATAAAAGTCATACTTTTTTTTTAATATTTTATGATTTATATGTGCTACAAATGTATTACAGATGAGCAAATTAATAAAAGAATGAAAAGTATATTTTATAAATTGTAGTGCATTATGTTATTTTAATGGTATACTTTTTCTATTAACTAAATAGTGCCCCCAATATGAAATTATTTTGTATCCTCCGCTGCATTTAGCTTTCCATAAACTCATATTGAATTTTTTAAAATTCCATTGACAATTTTTCCAACAGTTGAAATATGGTCCGAAAACAAATTCTAACTGAAATTCACACAATAATAAATAATGGTAATTATAATCATTAAATCAACAAAAATTTCAATGTAATTTAATGTGATCTCTATTGAAATAGACAATGAAATTTTTCAATGAACACTACACCAATAAAATATTCATTGCAATTTTCAGTGGAATACCTACATTTTTTCTATTAAAAATATAATTAACACATGAAATTTTTAGTCCATATATTTTTTTAAAATTACTCATTATTTTATCTCAAAATTACCTATTAATTTTTCAATTGAGTTAAATTTCTTAATATTAAGTAATAAAAATAATTATTATTTGAGTGTATTTTTTGTGGGATAAAAATTCAATTCAATAAATAAAAGGTGCAATTTCTAAATGTAAGAGTGTATTTTTCTTAATAGGAAGTAGCTAAATGAATTGATCCACTTTTTTAGTTTGTTAGATTATGTATATATTCACTATACCAATGAATATTCGTTGTGATTTTCAGTGGAATGTCTGACGTTGTATTTTTTATTGCAATATAGCAACTTTTTTAAAACTTAATTTCATGTAGTAGTTTTTTTTATTAATTAAAGTAATTACAATTTTATATTAAAATTATATTAAAAATAAATTGTTTTTCAAAATATGAATTATGTATCTTTTCAAAGCTTTGTTGTATGGGTTGATTTTTTGGAGATATGATATGAAAGAAACATTTTGATAGATATGCGAAAGAAACAAATTCGTGAGGAATAATGGTATGAGAATGTTGAGGTTGATTTTTAGGAGATCTAGAATGTTTTGTTGGTGTATCTATATTTATTTAACTAAATATTAATTATTGATTACAAATATAAGATATGATGAGTATTAATGCATTACTAATTTGCCATTAAAAATAAGTCAAAGTAAGAGTTTTTTAGGTAGTTCATTTGTTAATTAAAAATATAAAAATAAGATGGATATTACAGTATTACTAATTTGCCATTAAAAGTATGTCAAAGTAAGGGTTTTTTAGGCAGATCATTATTTTTACAAAATCACTCGTTTTAGGTAATTCATTTTTTTAATTAAAAATATAAATTAAAATATGTATTACTGTATTACTAATTTGCCATTAAAAATCTGTCAAAGTAAGGTTATTTTAGGTAGTTCATATTTTTACAAAAACACTCGTCCTTTTAGAGTAGTATAAGTATATATATATATATATATAGATTATTATTATTATTATTATTATTATTATTATTATTATTATTATTATTATATTATAGATAGATAGATAGATAGCTAAATTAACGTNTTATAAGTTTTCTTGAGAGATATATTAGATATTCAATAATAAATTTGAGTGTTGTTGAATGTCTCTTTCTCTTTTGTTCGTTATTATTTCCAACAAATGCAACTCTGCATGCATAAAATTGGTCTAACATTTTACAACTCATTTACATATCCTACCTTTGTACATAGCAATGTTTGCTAGCAAAAAGACCCTTATAACTTATATGCAACGCGGAATACACCAGAGCTTTACGAACTCTAGTAGCTTCGGATTTTAGCACCATGCTCAATGCATGCAGCCCATTATCCTGAAAATAAAGTAGGGACTAATAATTGGAATTTGGAAGTATTACTCTTCGCGCAAATTCAACGAATAATAATACATAAAGATGTCCAATGTCTTGCTCTTGCATGTAATAAATCATACCTTCTGAGCTTCTCTGCAACCCTGAAGAAACACTTCTGCTCCTCTTTTTCTTAGATAAAACCTATACAGAGACATCCACACGCACACGAAGTTAATCAAAAGAGCCATTACACACAAATGAAACAATATAATCCACAGATGGTACGCTTTGACTAAAGCTGTAATCACTTGCAAAAAGCAAAGCAGTTTCCACTATGTTTGAGCTGTGCAGCGAGGCATAGTCTATCCAAAAGTTTAGAAATTAAAAATGAATCAATTGTGCTGGATCAGAACCTGAGGAAGTGCTAGGAAAATTTCTGCAATTAGGGAACTTGTCACATCAAGTGAAAAACAGTCAAAACTCTGAAGTTGACTGTGTTTGTGAATGCAAGTTGTACGATGACTAAGTTAATTAATTGAGAGTTCTTGGTTAATAGCAAAAGTGCTGTATTTGCATCTGCAAATCATATTAGAAGCAAAATAGGAGACCTCAAACACTGATCCTACATATTTTAGATAATGATTAAATTATGGAGAACTAGAAACAAGACTTGAGATTTTAAGAGACTAAAAAATCACTCATTGGTTTTTAACCAAAATATAACAATATTTTTTAAGAGTAGAGACTCAAACCAATATCCCAACAACCAATTTGCTTTATATCAAGCTATCAAGTATCATTAATTTCACCAAGTGTTGATGTCAAGGAATTTTATTACTCTTCCCATTTCATCTCCCAATGTTTAAAAAATACTTTCTCGAGAACATGAATCTTGGCCCTATTCATGCCTCATTTCTAAACAAAATCTCAACAAGACTCAATATCAATATATTTCATTCATATTCATTTATCTTCATCTGTTACTCTCAGTTGTCATCAACAAAAAAGCTGGATTTTAAATTTTAAAAAATTAAATTCTCAAATCATCCTGTTTCCCTCATTTGAAGCGAAGAGCACTGGCAGATTCAACAACCATAGGTAACAAATTCGTACAGCTTATATTAGAGGCATCTAGCCCATAGACCAGCATGAGAAAATCTTACAGTATAGCGTGTCATCTATATATGAATGCTAGCTATCAGCACATAACTTAGACAAGAACATTTGACAAAGTAATTATCATATAAAATGGGATTGGGGAAAACGGAGTATTCAATTGAGGCCCCAATACAGCTTGCGTCAGTTGCCTTCTTATTTCATTGCAGTTATGGCACAATAATGAAGAAAAAGACAGAAGTTCTGAGTTCCTTAACCGGAAACTACATTTTCTTCATTATTATAAAATTCCAGAGTTGCCAAAAACAAGCTTTTGATACAGGTTGGGACCATAGAAATCTTAGCACCCTCTAAATGCCAAAGGACAGACAAACTGAATAACCATCACCCAGTTCTGAAGTTTGTAGACCATAAGACTCAAAAAATGTTCACTGATTTAAATTACAGTAACTTCACCTGATGACAAGTAATGAAATGTGAAAAAATGTATGAAAACCTTGATCAAACAGTCAGTCTACAAGGGAATGCAACTAGTTCTAGAGTAGTAATAACTGACTTGAACAAAAGAAAGCGCGACAGTATCAAAAACATTATAAAAGGGTGAACTTTTGAGTTTTGATTGCCGATCCATTTGAATAACAAGAATAACAAAAGGATCGAACTAAACAATAAAGATAACACTTACAAGAAGACAAGGGTCAAGATTTGGATTGGCAGCTCCTTTCTAGGAATTCAAATAACTAACAAATAAACCCATTGACCAGTTTGTGAACATTAGCAATTTTGAACCAGAAATGAAAAAGATCTCCCATACAATTGTTTAACATGTAGATGCAATCTACCATACCATGTTATTGCACAACCAGAATTGGAGCCAGAAAAATTCAAGCAACAATAAAGAACTCTACTATGTTTGTGTCAGTATAAAAATTCAATTTTAAAATATTGTCTTGAACATCTAAATTCAAAAATTGCAATCCAAGTTAACGCATAAAAATTATACAGCCCACGTAAGGGTAAAACATTGCCTGCAACCTGTACTATACGTGTTTTTTGCACTTCGCAACCTATAATATTTTTCTTGGTAAAATGCAATATGAACTCTATTAACATTATAATTTGCAACATCGCATACTATTGATCATAAAATCATCCGCAAAAATGGACACATGTATGGACAAGATGTAGGAAAAGTTGCAAATTATGAATGTTCATGAAGTTCAAGTTGCATTTTACCAAGAAAAATACCAAGGCTGCAAGGTCCAAAAACACGTATAGTACATGTTGCAGAAAATGTTCACCCACCCACGTAAATACTTGATTACTTATGTGTTAAAACATACTGGTCAGCCTAAATCACAGTGAACAAGTCGGACAGAATTGTACCAAATATCTAACATGAATAGGGTTCAAATCAGCAAGTTTTCTTTGTTCTTCTAAACTGAAACAACAAACCCACACTTGCTAAAGAAACGATTCGACTTGACAACAAAATCAACAAGAGAATTGTAAACGAAAAAGAATATGTGAACTTTCAAAAAAAATTAAGTCTCACCTCAGACGTCGGAAGGGGCAACGACACCTGCCGTAAAGTTTTTCCAGGTCCAGTTAACTGGCAAATCTCCTGGACCTGGCGTGCAAGATCCTCCAAAAGTTTCAGCTGTAAATTTTCCCTTTCTCGACTTTCCGCGCAGAGGCTAAGTTTGTCTCTCCCTTCCTGAATCAGCCTTAGCCTTTCACGAAGCCGCCCAACCTCACAATCAATTTTCACCATTTCACTCTCTACTGCAGACAGAGAAGGCTTCAGAGGTGGAAGACCACAGCTCGTCTCTGAGCTGCTTCTCTTGATTCCATCACCAACTATGTGCACATCATTGAAATGAGGGTCTTTAACTGTCTCCTTTCCATTATATGTTATGATAATTTTTTCTGCAGGTTTATCTCCTCCGTTCTTCTCCTGAATATCCTCAACTACTTTTGCATCCAATTGTGAACTATTATCTGCAGATACAAACTCCTTCTCCTGAAGTTCCGCATTCATCTGTACATATCTTCCATCCGATTCCCGTTTATTTCCGAAACTAGATCTTTCATTCTGAAAGCAAATTGAAAATTCATTTTCCATGGCATGCCTGGAATTCGGGTTGTCAGCTTGTTCATTCCCAATACCAACCATCTGCCTGTATGCTTCGACCTCCTTTTCCAAAAAGAGCTTCTCCTTCTCCCTCCTCACCAGAATCTCTTTCAGAATGTTCATTTCTTCAGCATCATAAGCAGATTTTTCTTCTAATATCCTCTGATATTGTCGAGCCTCGATTTCTATTGATGCCTTCTCCTCCTGAAGGCGAAGGATCATGGCCATAGCCTCATCAGCAGCACTAGCAGCCGCACTTCTCTCCTTTTCGAGCTCGATATAAAGTGCAGCACGTGCAATACGTTCTTCTGCAAGAGTTTGTTCTAAGAGTTTTACTTTGTTTTCCTCATCTCCACTTAAACTTTGAGCCCTTGGAGGATGATCATACAGCTCCTCTACATATATTTCCTTTTCGTGCATATTGGCGTTGGATGAATAATTTTCATCACTGGGGATAGACATTTCTCTCAATCTTGCTTCTATGGGATCTGTATTTTCATCTGAAAATATTTACCAGCAGAAAGAAGTAGGATTAGAATGCATGAACAAGGCCTGACAATCGGGGGCAGAAGCATATAAATATATGTCAAGTAATAAGTTGTTGGAATCCAACGAATAATTGTGATGAAACAATTCTTACTACATTATTCCTATGCTAGATACTTTGGATATGAATGCAAGCAGAAGTCATAAACTCCTAGAATATCTTGGCCTGCTTCACGTCTTGCTATGGATTAAGCAAACAAAGGCTGAATATAGTCATGCTGGGCAGGCCTATATATGTTTAAATCATGGAGAAATTCTCACCCATCAGATTCCTGTTCAATTTTGAGCAGAGAAACATATTTAATGATCTTAAAATGGCAACTAATATTATCTGCACTGTCTACGCACTATGAATTAGGGAAAGCCTTGACGTACACGATGATAATTCTTTTGTACCAAAAATCATTGAATAATGTGTTTTGTGGAAATAATATGAGGCTAATAAAACCACTAGAAACCTACACTGCCATCATTCAAGACATATAAATTTTTTTATTGTGCAATATAGATCATAGGCTCATTCTAAATTCAGGAAGAGAATCAACTAACAAATCTACCTGAATCACAACATAACGTGACATAACCTATACATAGATTTATAGGAACCAGAAGTAGCTGGACAATAACTGAATCATAAGAAAAACCTTTACCCAATCAAATGAGCTTAATATTCACACAAGCTAATCCTAGAGTTAACATCTCTATGTCCACAGATTACTGAAAGATGCTTACAAGACACATTGTATCATGCCCAAGATGTTCCATATCAAGAAACTAGAGTTAACAAAATAGGTGGTTTCTTTATAATTCCCTATTCAGCCTAAACCAGAACACCAAAAATAGCACTTCTTAAAGAGATCAATGAAACTCACATTCAAGATAACGAGCTTCACCATTACCAAAATGACCATAATGACCCCGTTCCAAAACATCTCCATTGGAAGGAGTATCACACGACACGAGGGGTGGAAGTTTCCCATGAACACCCCCTTTTTGACGTCTCAACCGACTTCTAGATCTATTACTACTCTTTATCCCCTTCCCCTTCAAATCATACTGCTTTCTAGCCAAATCAAGCCTCGTCCAACTTCTGGATTCCTCAACAGAGTTATAATAGACATCCACCATAGAATCATGTCTTTTGGGATGACTGAAAGGGAGTTTCTGCTCAACATCTGCAACTGTTTGGGCTGGGAATTCAACTAAAAGCCTGTTGAGGCAGAGAACTCTAGCGTTGAGGTTGAGAAAGGTGACGTCACAAGGGCAGGGGAAGCTCAGGCCCAAGAAGCCCAGGAATTTCGACGCCACGTAAGCAGCAGCTGACGCACACAGCAACAGGTACGCAATTGCAAGCTCAACAAAAGCGGCAACTAAACCGCCCAAAGACCACGCCTGCACGGCTTCGCATCCCATTTTTTCCGTCGGCCAAGTTTTGACCTTTTAGCCCAAACCACAAAAAGGTCGGTTTAGAGAGAGAATATATTAAAAAGTGTGGTGTGAAGGTGGATTAAAAGGGGTTCAGCTACTAGAAACGAAGATGAACTCGGGACACATGCCGTCAGCCAACCAGATATATCCACTTATAAAAGTTAAAACAATAATGTGCCCGTAAATTTATATATTAATTACTTTTAGTTTAACGTAAATTATTATTAATTCATCCGCCACCGACAAATGCTTACGACAGAGAGGACCAGATAGGGCTTCACCTGGGAATCTTTACGATTTAATTGAACTTTATATTGCAACTTTTTTACAATGATTGGTACAGTCAATAGAATGTCAAGGGTATGTCCAGTCTTTATACATTTTACTCCATAAAATATTTTTTTATTCTCATTATTTTAAATTACGTTAATATCCAAAAAACAACTTAATTAGTTATGTTATTTTATAATATTTAATTATTTAAATTATTATCTTTATATAATTAATAAAATATAAATTGCACAACAATATTTATATAATATAATAATAATTATCTATAGTCTCTATATTTATCTATTATTAAAAAGAATGAATGGCTTGCACTATTCATTTCTACATTATCTATAGTCTCTATATTTAAGAAGAATGGGTTCCTTGCACTGTTCATTGTTTCAATATTTTATTAACATCTTAGTCTCTTTTGCTGACACGTTTCAAATAAAGAGTAAACTACATATTTTACCCTTGGTGTCTAGGAATTCTAAGCAAGTCTTCACATTCCCATTTCAATGTTCCCATCTCACTTTGTCGACATTTTTTTTCTTTCCTGTTTGTTTTTCTAATTTTGTATCCACCAAAATCTCCCGTCAAAATCGAGGAAATAGGACTGACTTATGAGGATGATGTAGCATAGCATCGCTGATATTGCATTAAAGGAAGTAGCTCGGCAAGTAGGCTGACCCAGTCGATTCGAAGTAAGCGCCGGAGCTCAGATGAGCTCGGCGTATTATGAATAAATGCGACCAAATGCAAGAACCTAGCGGGCTAGCCGAGCTAGTTGGTCAACTGTGGGAAGCTGAGCTTGTAGGCTGGGCAGGTGGCCGAGCTGATAAACGAAGCAGACCTTGGGCGAACACACTTGAATGCTGGGAAGGAGCTCGACAGTACGAAGGGAGAGCTGAACCTGGAAGATGGGGGTGGACGATGTTACAACAAAATGCCGTTGCGCGCATCGCGGGGATCCTCCCGGATTATAAGGAGATGGGGTCGAACGGGACTCTCTGGTCGTTGAATAAGATTTGTATTGCCAAGAGGCAGATAGAAGGGGGACTCTTGTTATTACTGGAGTCTTTAGGGTGTCCGCATTCGAATATAAAAGAGGCTATTTCCTAACTTTTTACATAACACACAACATCTACGAAATACGCATTGTCTTCTATATCTGCTACCTTTTCTGAATTCTTGATTGACTTGGGCGTCGGAGTGTTCGCGCCGGGACCACCCCCGGCGTGTTTTGCAGGTTGCCGGCGATCCAAGAAAGGCGAACCGATTCAGAAGAGGCGGTCCAGCGGTTCAGGACAATTTGACGTATCAAATTGGCGCCGTCTGTGGGAACGATTCAGTTTCTACAACTTGAGATAAGAGGCTGATTTTTCTCACCAACATTCACCATGACTGATGACAACGTAAAGAAGAATCTGATAAAAGACATGGACGAAGCATGGACACGGAGGGCGTTTGGAGATGGACCCCCTCTGGGGTGGTCAAAGACGATTGCTACGCCCAAGGAAACCTTACCGACACCTGGTATCACCTCGACACCGGCAAAAGATACTCAAGGCAGTCAATGACCCAAGGAGGGAAGGAAGGTCAGACAGGGATCGAGGGTGAGCTCGGCAATCCCACTACAGGGGTAGTCAATCAGGTCATTGGCGGATCTGGAAGTGGGGGTGGACCGACGGGTTCATTGGATAATAGGCAACAAATCGCGGCGAGAGTAAACAATCCTCCAGAAAACAACCCCCCGGCGGAAAGAGGGGACCAGATGTTGCATATGACCAGAGCGGAGTTGGATAAGATTATTGCCGATGCAATCGGACGAGCTCAGGTTGTCGATAGAAGGGCTACCAATGAACCAATCAGGCAGTTCGTACAGCAGCAGCAATTACTACCGGCGAACCAGTCTCAGCGTCGCGAGAGGGGTGACGAAGATGAGAATAGGTCGGCAACCTCTCGGCCTGTCGCAGCGATGCAACAGGAAGGAGTAACTTTGGAGAGGTTGGCTTCTCAGATGCGGGAGTTATAGGCACGGATGCAGGAGAGAAGGCCCATGGTATCTCTTGGGCATCCTTTTACAGAAGAAGTACTGAGAGGTGACTTGCCACATAATTTCAGAGAATTAAGCTTTTCCTATGACGGATTTGCAGACCCCGCAAGGCACTTGAGGTCGTTTGACAACATAGCGGTGTTGCATAGGTACAACGATGCAGTGAGTTGTAGGGCTTTCCTGACGACCTTAAAAGGGTCGACGCAGGATTGGTTTCATCAATTGCCGCCTGGATCCATCGACAACTTTGAAAAATTCAGCTCTCTCTTTGTGAACCAGTTCGCTAGTGCCAGAAAGCATGAGAAAACGTATTTGTCGTTGATTAGCATGCAACAAAAGGAGGGTGAATCTTTGTGACAGTACATAGCGCGTTATACAAAGGAATGTGTGGAGGTCCCTACTGCAACAGAGGAATTCAAAGCTGGAGGGCTCACTAGGGGTTTACGACCAGGGAAGTGTCGAGATTCGTTGGCTAAACGCCCGGCTAGATCGTTTGACGAGCTTCTGGAAAGATGCAGCAAGTATGTTAATATGGAGGAGGCGGAAGCAGATTTTATACAGAATGATAAGGTAAAAGTGAACCCGGCGGATGAGAGGACCCGTCAAAATGAACGACGAGCTCCCCAGAAGGAGGTCAGGGTGGAAGATCGATATAAGGGGCCCAGGTATGAGCACTACAAACCATTGAAGGCTCCCAAACAGGAAATTCTTGAAGTGATGGAGCAACGAGGAGAGACTAAGTTGTTAGCACCGCCTAAGCCCTTGCCTCCACCGCGAAAATTCTCGGCAGGAAAGGATAGGTACCGCCGATACCACCGCAATTACGGCCATTCTACCAATTTCTGTCGTGAGCTGAAAGACGAGATTGAGCGGCTTATCAGAGCCGGGCACCTGAAGGAGTTCGTGATAAAGGACAAGGAACGTCGTGACGAGTGCCCAGAGGGGCGTGAGCTGGGTGACAAATGCCGGAGAATGAAAGAACAGCCAGATAAACCAGTGAAGAAAGGGGTGATTCATATGATAGCAGGAGGTCCTACGGATGGTGACTCACACCGGGAGAGGAAAAGAACATATCGAGGAAAGAGCATGGTGGACGAGGTGGCTGAGGTCAAGGTACAAGCAAGTTCGGTTACCCTGAACTTTAGCGCGAATGATGTGCAGGGGGTCGTGGTTCCCTATAATGATGCCTTGGTGATTACGGCTGAGGTAGCTAGTTACGATGTGCAGAGGGTTCTGATAGATACTGGGAGTTCGGCGGATATCATTTTCTGGAAATGTTTGCAGCAGATGGAGTTGGAGGTAAAAATGGAACCGGTGCACACTACCCTATACGGTTTTAATGGCAATGAGGTCCGACCCATGGGGGAGGTGAACCTAACAGTAGCCCTAGGACGAGCTGAAACAAGGAAGGTAAAAATGGTTAGATTTCTGGTCATCGATGCCAGCTCGGCGTACAATATCATTCTCGGACGCCCCAGCCTGAACGCGTTCCAAGCTGCTGTCTCAACGTGGTGTATGAAAATTAAGTTCCCTGTGGGAGATGAAGTCGGAGAGGTGATGGGAGATCACTTGCAGTCGAGCCGCTGTTACGAAGTAACATTGAAGACTGCAGAGGCGTTGAATAAGAAGAGGAAGACGGAGGATCCCCCTGAATCATCGCATCAAGGTAGACGACAGGAGTTGAGCTTAGATTCCCAGGATGAGCTCATAGAGGTGGAGCTGGTCGAAGGGGTCCCTTTGAAAACAGCCAAGGTAGGTCGATATTTAGAAGAAAACATCCAAAAGGCATTGGTGGCATTGCTGAGAGAATTTGTGGAAGTGTTCGCCTTTGCACCTGATGAGCTCGTTGGGATTAGTCCAAAAGTGGCCGAACACAAGTTGAATATTGACCCAACAGTAAGGCCGGTTAAGCAAAAAAGGCGGCATTTCGGTGCCGAGCTAGATGAGGTTATAGAGGCCGAAGTAAACTATTGAAAGCGGGGCACATAGAGCCTATACAATTCCCCGAGTGGTTGTCAAACTCTGTGATGGTACGCAAAGGTGAGGGTAAGTGGAGAATGTGTATAGATTTCCGCGATTTGAACAAAGCTTGCCCTAAGGACCATTATCCACTACCGCGGATAGATCAGCTCGTCGATTCCACGGCGGGGTGTGAACTGTTGAGTATGATGGATGCTTCGCAGGGATACCACCAAATTCCTCTCGCAAAGGAGGATCGCAAGAGGGTTAGATTTGTAACGTCCAAGGGTACTTTCTGTTATGTCGTAATGCCTTTTGGACTTAAAAATGCTGGGGCCACGTACCAGCGTTAGTAGATAAGTTGTTTAAAGGCCAGATCGGACGGAACATGGAGGTTTGCGTGGATAATATGCTCGTGAAGAGTATGAAAGCTTGCAATCATGTGGTGGCCCTAAGGGAGACCTTCACCACTTTACGGCGGTATGGCATGAAGCTCAACCCAACAAAGTGTAAATTTGAGGTGCGATCAGGAAAGTTCTTAGGATACCTGGTGACGGAAAAAGGGATAGAGGTAAATCCTGAGAAAGTTCGAGCTATTATCGAGATGAGGGCACCTGTGAACTTAAAAAGAGGTGCAGGTCCTGGCAGGGCGCCTAGCTGACTTGAGCAGGTTCATAGCTCAGGCCGCAGAAAAAAGTTTTTCCTTCTTTCGTGCCCTAAAGAAGGGATCTCGCTTTGAGTGGACGCAGCAGGCACAACATGCCTTTGAAAGATTGAAAGAGTTCCTCGCCGAGCTACCTTTACTTACAAAGCCAGAGCCCGGAGACGACTTAGTAGTATATCTGTCGGTAGAAGAAGAGGCTATTAGCTCGGTGCTATTAAAGGAGGAGCACGGCCAACAAAGGCCGATATATTATACTAGTCGGATATTACAAGGAGCCGAGCGCCGGTACTTAGAAGTGGAAAAGGCTGCGTTGGCGCTCATTGCTACAGCTCTCAAGCTGCGGCCCTACTTTCTGGCGCATAAGGTGATAGTAAGGACCAATTATCCGTTTAAAGATACTCTAGGTCGTCCCTCAGCCTCAGGGAGAATGGTGAAGCGGGCGATTGAGCTAGGAGAGTACAACGTCGAGTTTGAGCCAAGACGGGCAATAAGGGCTCAGGCTCTGGCGGATTTTATACAAGAATGTATTATGAGCAAGGAGGAAGGAAAATGGATGGTATACACGGACGGATCTCCGACAGTCGGCGGTGCCGAGCTCGACATCCTAATAGTCACTCCCGAGGGTGATCATTTGGAGTTTGCTGTGAAGTTAGGTTTCAGAGTCTCAAATAATGAAGCAGAATATGAAGCCTTGTTGCAGGGGATACAGCTCGTCCTTAAAGAGGGAGCTCGTCAAGTGATGCTCCATTCATATTCTCAGCTGGTAGTTGAGCAGGTTAAGGGAGAATACGAGGCAAAGGAGGAGCGCATGCGAAAGTATGTAGCTGAGGTGCGGTCGTTACTTAATGGATTCAGGTCCTGGGAACTCATACAGATACCACGAGCTGAAAATGGCTGAGCTGACCTCCTATCAAAGATGGTGGCGACAGTGGTGGATGGTAAATCACGGTCGGTTACTTTAATGGAAATGACGGGGAGTACTTTGGATCGGGTTCTGGAAGTAGACGAGCATGAGGATTGGAGATCGCCTTTGATAAAATGGTTGCAGGAGCCAGTTGAAGGAAAGGATATAAGGAATGACCCGGTAGGTCGGCGAGCTTCACGATTCTACCTGCAGAATGGGATTTTGTACAAGCGATCTTATGTAGGACCACACTTGAGGTGTGTTTCCGAGCAGGAAGGAGACTGTGTTGCGCGAGGTCCATGAAGGATGTGGCGGCGATCATATGAAGGCTCGATCGCTGGCAGGAAAGGTATTTCTGGCCCACCATGAGGACAATGGCGCAAGAGATGGTCCGAAAAATGTCTCAAGTGTCAGCGGCTTGTCCCTCTCCTTCATCGGCCTGCAGAAGGCATGGTACCTATAAGTTCACCATTACCCTTCACTCAATGGGGAATCGACAAAGTGGGACCTTTACCTCAGGCAACAGGTCAACGCAAGTTCTTGGTAGTTGCAATAGATTATTTCACAAAGTGGATTGAAGCGGAGCCTTTGGCCAAAATTAGAGAAGACAAAATGATAAAGTTCTTGTTTACTAATATTTGCTGTCGATATGGTATTCCTCGAGTTCTCATTTCGGATAACGGGACTCACTTCAGAGGTCCCTTCTATCCCCTCATGTAGAATAGGAGCAAGGCCGGCCAAAGTCTAAAAGTAATAATAATACTTGAGGTAAGAAAGGCTATCGTAAGAAGGGAACTTAAGAAAGTACAGGATGCGGAGATGAAGATACCTTCAGCAGGTTGTGCAGAGTGACCGAGGCTCGAGTTTGACTGTCTTTCCAGCATGAAGTTTCTTCTTCTGGAAATATTGAAAGCAGATAGGTGGCGGCCGAGCTAGCGTCAGAGTTGCCAGCAAAGGGGTCTAGTTGCTCTAGCACAGGTTTGGAGCCGGTGTCTTTTTTGGACGACTGCTTGGTTTTCTTGGTGTTAGAGTCATTTCCTTTAGTCAACTTACGGCGTTTTGTTTTCGGATCCTGAGAAGTTGATTGTGATGGAGGGTGTTTATCTTGAGCACCTGAGGCAGGCAGGTCAGCAGACGGGTTGGCCAGGTCGGCAATGTTCTCGGCAGGCTGCGATGGTTGAGCAGAGTTCTCGATGTGCTTAGGTGTAGCGAGGGCCGCTTTCAAAATGCTCTCTGCAATATGGAAAATATATAGGAAAAATAAGCGAATTACAGTTAGCATGCTCAAGTAAATATCAAAATGACGTAAGTTATGAGTAACTAGCTCGTCGCAATGATACCCACCTATGTCGGTCACAGGAGCAGCAGGGCGGTTAGACAACTTAAAGTGGCGAAGTAAGCGAATGTCGGATGTTAATTTTACAATGTGGAGAGGTTTTTTGTTCCATTCTTGGATGAGGGCATCGTATTTAGCGTTGGGACGAGGATTTTTGCGTTGGCAAGGTAGCACATTGTAATATCCCATTCAGTAATTAATAAAAGTAATAATTTCAGTTCTAAGTTAGAACTATTTTACTTTTATTAATAATGATCTTTTATATTTCCAAGCCTTAATAAATCTCTTAGAATTTTATTTTTCATTATAAGGTCAAGATCAATCCATTAATTTGGAAGTAAAATTAAGCAAAGGTTGGCCTTATAAGTAAATTAAGCTCGGTTCAAGTTAACCGTGCCGAGAAATCCTAATTTATAGTCGAGCCTTAGTATTAAATACTTAGAATTTTTCTAAGTGTTTAAATTCATCAAGTTGATGTAATGACCAGTTCAGTTAGAAACGATTCAGTTGGCTCGACATTAAAGTTAAATCGGAATCTTTTTCATTAAATTGAGTTAGTCGAGTAAATGTTATAAATTGCCTAAGTATTTTATGTGACTTATATGATTTGATTGATAAGTTATAAGGATTAAGTAGAAGTTATTTAGACAAGAAGGTCTATTTATATTATTAAGAGTATATTCAAAATTATATTCGCAAGTTTCGAGTTTTTTCGATGTTCGGTGGTAGTCGATAATTAAGTCCGATTTTGTTTCCGAAAAATTTATTTTCTTGTATTTTTTACAAGTTTCAAGATCATTAATAAGAGTTAAAATTTTTTCAGCATAAAAAGGAAAAAGGCCAAAAGCAAAAGATGGAAATCTGAAATTTTTAGAATTTTCGATTTTTCGGTAACCGTTCGTTTTAAGTCAGAATTCGGTTCTGTAAATTGGAAATTTTTCATTAAGTCACGAATTTTATCATGGAAATCATATTAGGATCACATGATGGGCCTTTCTAATTATTGACTATATATTTGTTATGTTTACAAGTTATGATTTCCATTCTTTATCTTTATTTATTTTTATAAAATTTTTCTAAGTATTTTTTAAGGGATAAATGAGCCATTTTTAGCTTAATTTCGAGGCATGGTCAAAGGGAGAAGGTTTGTCTTGATATATGCAAGATAAATCATGCATTACAAGTACTTATCTAGGCTTAATCATCTTTGTGCAAGATTTTAGAAAAACATTAATGATAAGGGGCCTATGGTGTTTATTATGATGGAGTGTTGATGTAAAGAAGGTGATGTTGTCTCCTTTGCTACCCTATATAAAGGAGCATCAGCATAGGCTCGAAATTCACATCATAATAAGCAAAGTCTTAGCTATAGAGGGTAAGAAGGAGAGATAAATCGAGAGAAATCTTGACGAAGATAAGTTGAGATCAACTTCCGAAGTTTCATTTTCAAATTTCTTGAAGAAGGTTAGATGCTACCTTTTTATCATATGTTATAGTTTATATTAAGTGAATATTGATGTATTTTCATGCCATATATATAGATTCAATTTTTAAAGAAATTTTAAGCATGAAAAAAAAAATGATAAGTTGTTTCCAGCACAATCACATGTTATATATGTACTGTTTTGATTTGAATTTGAGCATGATATGCATAACCTGGCATGTTAAGCTTATTATGGATATTTCTTGTGTAAGTGCTGAGTATATAGGTGAAAGAATTATGTCATTTGGCATAGTATAGCTTGAGTTATAAATTTTTGAAGTTAAGCATGCAAGTTGAATTTTATGTTCTTTATTTCAGCTGTGACTTTAAAATTTTAATAACTCGATATATACGCATGATAAAATTATGAAATTTTTACGACATGCTTATATATGAGTTAAGAACATGACTGCCAAATTTCATGATTTTATGTTGAGAAATGAACGAGTTAAAATATTTATATGGCATACATGTCAAGATGATTTTATATGCAAGAGTATTCAGTACATGGTTGAGTTTTTAAAATTGAATTTTTAGGAAAAATTCTTATATGAGTGATGAGTAATTTGACCAAGTTTCAGCTCAATATGTTGAGTATGTGATTTTATAAAATTGTTTCAAGTCTAGTATATCAATATCATAATTTATTGTTATGATAAAAACTTGTATTGAATAAGCATCAAGTTTGAGATTTTAATATCAAGCAAGTTTAAGACAAGTTTGATAGATTAAAAATACGTATAAATCATGTATATGATATTGGTAAAAGTTGAGCATGTTTTGAGTTCATGTATTCAATTAAGTCTAATGTGAAATTTAGTTTATTTTCACATTCGAGTTATTTAAGTGACATGCGAGTATAAGCCAATATCTAAGATTTTGAAAGATATGATTTATATGGGTTAAGTATTTGACTTTGAGTAAAAGTTTAAGAAAAGTTTGGTTTTTCAATGATTTAGTATTCATTTGAGCAATAGCATATTTAATGAATATCTTTAAGATTCGGATAAGTTATCTGGTAGAGTTAAGAATCCCACCATATTATTGAGTATACGAGCATAATACTTAGTATATTTGTTTATATTGTTATGTAGCTTGAGGAGTTAGCTACTGTAACACCCCGTTTTATTTTAAAGAATTTACCGAATTTATTTATAAAAATCAGAGTTTATTTTTCGCAAAATCCCAATTAAAAACTTTAAGACTCAACGGGCGCTACTATCTACAACTAAAACAAATACACATTTACACAGATAAAATTTAACAGTTCAAAATGAAATTCCAATTATTCATAATCCTCAAACCCAGTTATGCATATTTAAATACTTCAACGGAAAATCCAAGGTCTAACCAACATGTCCAAGGTAAGTAAAGCGGAAGCATCATTATTCAAAGTTAAACAAATGATCTATCAAGATAATTAAAAGCAGAAACAAGTAACACACAATCCAACGACCACCACTCGATCGTCTCTCGCTGCCGTCGCCAGCCAATGCTCAACCTATAAAGATAGGAAGAGGAAACAAGAGGACAGAAAAGTAAATGGGGGTGAGTACAACCATCATACTCACCATTACCGCACATTATATTTCGCATAAAGATTCATAACCATAAATAATGTATGCATAGAATCCAGATCTAACTCCCTATTAGGCCCTATCGCAAACATCCTATGTACATACAACAAACCTTCTGACCAGACATCGGCAAGGATGTAACTGGAAGCACTCCCACCCCGGATGCAACGGGCATAGGATATTATCCAGGAGACAGTGAAGTTGAAATACCCCTCCGCTCTACACGGATTCGGGCGTTCAGACAATCCCCTCCGCTCTACACGGATTCGGGCGCCCACCTCCCGGATACGACGGGCAGGTGACTTCCACTGATTATGCATTCGTCAAAGGCACTACCGTCAGGACACTTAGACTAGGGTTTTCACGCATACAGAAGCTATCGCGACAAACATTTATATGAAATAACAAGTGCGATAAATGTAGATTCAACATAAATGAACCCACCTGGTAGCGATCGAGTCAAACACACAAGAATAGTAGTCGGCGAGGTCGACTCGTCAAACACCTACATTTATTAAAATAGCCTTATCAAAGACTATTCAACAATTTACTTAGTTCAACTAAGTCCACGTAAGCATTCAAGCATGCATTAGATCAAGGAAGACACATTTCATAAAATATCACATAAGTTTTGAAAAAGTTAACCCGACAGCGGTTTTAAAATCGACATAATTTTCAGCACACAACTCGTATGAACGTCAATCAAATTGCATGGGAATCCTAGGAAATGAATCTACAATTCTTATGAAGACAATGAAAGCAAACGAGGTCATTTAACAGGTGCTAATCCAACAAACATCAAAATTTGAGTCACAGTCCAAAACTGGAAAAATACACTTGACCAGACTTCAGTAATTTCTATATAACTGGAGCTACAATCATGTTTTTAATGAATTTCAAAAACCACATGATAGATAATTCAAATGTCTACAACTTTTTTGAAGATCATATTGGCAAATAATCACATTAACCACGAGTTTAAACACAAGAAATGTGATTCAGTAAATCTGTCAAAACATGTATAATGCACCTGGACAGCACCTCAGTTTTTAACATCTATCTTGAGCTACAGACCTTCAAATGATATGGTTAAAGTCTCACAATAAACCTTAGAAATGCATCTACAATTTTCATTTAGAATATAGGAGCATTTAAGATCATTTTAATAGGGTAAAATCAGTTCACATTTCATATCAGATGTCTGCCAAAATAATAAGTTCCAAATCATGCACGTCTAACTTCATACAAGCACAACTCGAGTTACAGAGCACGTATTGACATGAAATCTATCTCATTTGAAAGGCAAGAAACAGATCTATAACTTTCATGAAGAGTATAAGTTCATACGAGCATATTACGACATGATAAACAGGTCACACATTAATTACAGATACGCTGCCGGGTAGCAGGAAAACTGGACGCGCAACATATTTGTAAAAATCACAACTTATTCGATATAACTCGGAATCGAGAAATTCCAAATCCCAGGTTTAGAAAACTGAACATACTACAATTCATATGAAGACTACATTTTCAAATAACCAGTCTCATATAGCTTAAAACGCGGCGCAACAGATCAGCGAAAAACATATTTTTCACATAAAATACCAACGAATAAAAACGGATGGTTCGAAACTCGACAACGATCAATATATTTTCTCGACAACAAATAAACGAGCACATTGAGGTTTAACATAGTAACAACATGATATTCGGTTTAACGAGGTCACAAACATAATACGATAACCGAAACGACATATACGAGCCAGTTAACAATTCTAATCAAAATCCGACTTCAATCGAATAATCGATAATTCGTATAACATATATATATCAT